TAGAACCAAATTCAACCTTCTCAACAGTTGAGATGGAACAGTCGAAATTTCTATGCTTGCACCTATAAATTAACTTACTGCTCATGTGTGGGACACCAAACCCATTAAATTACCCCTGTCAAATAATGTTATCACCACCAACCCTTCCACAATTGTGGACAAATTTACTTTTACTTATCTACACATTACCAACCCTCAAGCCTGTTCCCTACAGACCTGGCGGAAACCCTTTTTCAAAGTATTACACTTCCTTCTCTCTCTCAAAAAAATGCTGGACACATTAAAGGCCAAGATCACCATCCTGGAAGTCCTTGGGGCAATGAAATCCCTCAAAATGTAGAAACTTCCAGGCCCCGGTGCCTTCTCAGCATTGTACTACAAAAAGTTTCTGGACCTCCTTGCTTCACATTTAACCAAACTTTTCAATCACCTGCACACATTTTCAGATCTACATCCCTCCTCTCTTGCTGCACACATTGTAATGCTTCAAAAACCTGTTAGAGATTCGGTAGATCCACACAACTACCACCTCATTTCATTATTAACCATGGATATTCAGATACTGTCTAAGATCCTGGCAACCAGAATCAACACATTTTTACACACTTTGATCCACAAGGATCAGGTGGGCTTTGTCCTAGGTGGTCTTCACCAATCATCGGATAACACCCGTAAAGTCATTCATCTGATCTATCTGATGCATCAAAAATACATCCCTGGCATGGTACTTATTCTTGATATCAATAAGGCCTTTGATTCTTTTTCATGGGACTACTTATATTACGCCTTAAGCAAATGGGGTATCCAACTCACTTTCTATCCTGGCTACAAGCACTGTACCATAACCCTTCGGCTACAGTGCGTTATCTTTCCTGCCACTCTACACCTTTTCAGATCCACAGAAGCACCCTACAGGGATGTCCTCTTCCTCCAATCTTGTTCATTTTAGCCTTAGAGCCACTGGCGTGCCTCATCAGATCTAGCCCTGATATCTGAGGCATTGATTTGGGACCTAACTCGTACAAAATGAGCCTGTTTCCCGACTACTTACTTTTAACTCTAACCCAACCACATACCTCTCTACCTAATTTATCCTGTACCCTTAAGCAACTCTCAGACATATCAGGTCACTCTATCAACAAAAACAAATCTATGGCCCTTAACGGCACACTTCCTGATACAGAGATAACCTCCTTGAAGTGAATTCTTAAATATATATGGGCATCCTCCTACCTTAATTACTTAGGAATTAAACTCACCTGTTCTTATCAAGCCCTATATGCTGCCAACTATATTCCAACTTTTCATAATCTAAAAGCCCTCCTCTCCAGCTGGTCCCTCCACCACTTTCTTGGATAGGGAGGATCAACGGTATCAAAATGACAATACTGCCGAAGCTGCTATACTTGTTCTGCACTATCCCAACCCCCACCTCCTCATATGCTCTGAAATCCTTTCAAAACCACATATTTCGTTTTAAATGGTCCAATAAAAAAACCTTGGGTCCCCGACATACAATGTTTACACATAAAGGACAGGGTGGTTTTGGAGTCCCTAAATTCAGTAAATATTTTGCAGCTGCACAAATTACCCCTTTTACCTTGCTGTGTGTATCCTGACAGGCCCCCTGTGGGTGGATCTGGAGGCATTCTGCTGCTCAGCAGTTGCTATTTGCTCACTTCCTTGGTTCCTACCTAAATTTCATCCTGCTTCTATGAGCACTCTAATGAGACATAGCCTTGCAATTTGGGATTCCACCAAATATTTTAGTTACTCTCACCACACTTACCTCTCTCACCCCTTCTGGGTAACCCAATGTTTATCCCGGGACTGGAGTCCCCCAGAGCCTTCCATTGATGGCACCCTCACAAATTTCTTTTTGCCCATTCTTTTCTTAATGGCCGCACCATCTATACTTGGAAAAAAATTAGGGAAAAATGCCATGCCCCGTCCTCCGAATTATTTTGATTCCTTCAAATAAAACATTGCCTCTCCACCATATTTACTGATGAAGCCCTTACAGGTCAGCTATCACTATTTGAACATATATGCCACCATACGCCTCTCTCCCCTAAACTGATCTCTATTCTCTACTCTCAATTGAATAATTCTAACCACCATACCAATCACGCTTATGTTTTCCAAGTAGGTGTTTGACCTCCAGCGCACTAGGGATAGAGCAGACTGGTTACAAATCTGGGACATAATAGCTTCCTGCTCTATTATTGAATCTGCATTCAAAACAGTTACCGGATGGTACCTGGTCCCATAACATGTAGCCCATCTTCAGCCCTACCATACTGGTCTGTCCTTTCGTGGCTGCACAATGCCGAGTGATACATATACATACTGTAACTGGTGGATATGTTCTATGCTTAAACAGTTTTGGACCAAGGTCTTGAAGCTCATACATTCCTTGTTCCTTTGAGAAAGTTCATCAACAGATAGACGGGTTCTTTATTAATGAGAAACTGACCATCATCCTGCTGGACACACAAAATAAATTCTCCCAGACCCCATGAATACAATATGCCCATCCATCACTGTTCATAGAGAGCTATACCTCATTCTAATAGTCCAACTTTGGGATGCTGGTTTTGGCAATTCCTGACGCTCACTCCCCACACCCCACTTCTCTTTCCCACCTTCCTGCTGTGAAATTCCTTCTTTCCTTTTTCCTTCTATCTTATTTTCTTGTTGCAGATCATACTGTTTACTTACATTTGGTATTTTGATCAGCTTATTGTTTCATGACCTGCAACAAATCTACCTGGCTCATTAATACCTATTCTAACTTGCAGGCTACACGATTTGCTTATTAATAAGCTATTTATACTGTTGGATGTTTTTACATTTTTGGAAGCTACATTCTAGCTGTCTAACATCTTCTTGGTAATAACAAAAAGTATTCTTGAGTTTTTCAAATTTATTGAAAGTGAAAACATTAAAAGTCAGCAGCTACAAATACTGTAACCACTGCCTTTTAATAGGAAGACACTTACCTGTACAGGGATCCAGTGCTGTCCTCATCCTAGCCGGTTCTTCACCAGTCCTCGGGTCCCTGGAACTGCCATGTTAACTGTGGGAATCCGGCTGTGATTACTTGTGGCTTCACATCTGGCTCTCCACTGCACATGTGCAAGCTGCCTGCACCCTGTGATTAGTTCTGCAGCCTCCTGGGACCTGTGACATGTCTCAGGAGGTTGGGGGGGGGGGGGAGAATTTCCAGTGGTATCACCTAGGCAATTCCAGTCAAAGTGTCAGTGGGTACCTGTTAGTTATAGGTACCTCCTGCCCCCAAATAAGTCCCAAAAGTGTTGGGGGGGGGGGGAGAATCAGCTAAACTTCCTTTTTGTAAGTTCCCTATGAAGTTCCTGTTAAAGTTCTGCTTTAATTTCATTATTTTTATTACTACCAATAAAACTAACTTGATGTATAGAGGAGTGTCCTCGGTTATCAGCTACACTAGAAACTCCACCAGAATGCAGGACCTCTGATTGGGCAAAAATACTACCTCTTCCTATTCCACTCTGAGTGCTGCTGTAAAGGATAGCGAGAAAATAAAATCAAATCTAACCCAGGCATTTATAACAGTTGCATTAAAAATATATTTAATTATTAAAAAAATATGTAACATTTGTTGGTTGTTTTTAATATCTTCCTGGAGCTCAGCTATAAGATAAGGAAATTCAACACCAGAAAATTCCATGAACACTCAAAGGGGTTTTGCATTGCAGTCCTGTTTAATCATTTGCCTACCGGGCACTTATACCCCCTTCCCGCCTGGGCCAATTTTCAGCTTTCAGCGCTGTCCCACTTTGAATGACAATTGTGCGGCCATGCAACATTATACCTATATGACATTTTTATCATTTTGTTTTCACACAAATAGAGCTTTCTTTTGGTAGTATTTAATCACTGCTGGGTGTTTTATTGTTTGTACTGATATGAAGAAATGATGGGCATTGGTAGGCAGCACTGATGGGCATTGATAGGCGGCACTGATGGACAGCACTGATGGGCAGCACTGACTGGCGGCACTGCTGGGCAGCACTGCTGGATGGCACTGCTGGGCAGCACTGATGAGTGGCACTGCTGGGCACTGGTGGGTGGCACTGCTGGGCACAGGTGGGCACATGTGGGTGGCACTAATGGGCACTAATGGGAACAGGTGGGTGGCACTGCTGGGCACTGGTGGGTGGCACTGCTGGGCACTAGTGGGTGGCACTGCTGGGCGGCACTGCTGGGTACTGATCATCAGGGCAATGATCATCAGGGCCTATCTGTTTTCTGACAATTGCCAGTTATCGGCACTACTTTACTCTCACGCAGTGGCAGCGTGAGGAAAGTGCAGCCGATGACCGGCAACTGTATTTACTTGGTGATCTGCTGTGTCATTGGACACAGCTGACCACGTAGTAAAAGGCCGCTGTGATTGGCCGTTTACCACATCACGTGATCAGCTGTGTCTGTAGGACTGGGGGCCTGCGAGAGGGCGTTTTCTGGGATGATGTCATTCGGCTATAGAGCGGTTAGCAAGTGCTTAAAGAACACATATTTAATTTATTGACATAATACATACTGTCCAACATTCCCAAGGGTAGCCATGACACTGTATGTTTGAGGTAAATGCCCAGGTGCTCACCCACAAAGAAATATGTACAAATCCAAAACAGGTATAGATGAACTCACAGATCTTGCAGAGGAAATACATCAAACCAGCAATATTTTATTGGTGATGTTTTGATGAAGCTCAGTCTATTTCTGCTTTAGAAAGATGGCTGAGCTTCATTGAAACATCGACAATAAAAACACTGCTGGTTTGATCTATCTCCTCTGCAAGACCCATGAGTGCCTGTATATCTGTTTTGGATTTTTTACTATCTAACATTTATATATTTTAAAAAATGAAATACAAAATACAGACAAAAAAAATGTTGTACATGAACTTTATTACTACCTAAATACTATGACAAGAAACTTAGACAACTTTGCCTTTTTTAATAAGGGTTATCATGAATATGCTCCAGAATTGTTTTAAGACCCAGATAGGTCTCCTGTGCAGTTGGTAGGATCTGAGATGCTGGAAGCAAGAAGCCATAGCGCCCTGTATCTCTCAACTCAAAAGCAAATGAATACTTAATTCCAATATCATAGGTCCAGTCAATACTTCCTCCACTAGCTTGATCTGAAAAAAGAATAATTATCAGAGCAAAATAAGTTTTATTACACTCAACATACACAAACAGCAAGGAGGTACATGAAAGCCAATTTACATAAAATGATACAAAAATAAATCAATCACAAACAAGCTTTTATCCAGTGTCCCTCTTACAGCTGTAAAGAATTGTATTTGGTTTTATTATAATGGTTTATTGCACATAACTATGCTCTACTTATGCTGTGCCAATTGGTAGGAGATCTGTGCATTCTATAGTTTACAGTACAACTCCAGTAAAATTCTAAGATTAAACCTATTCCCACTCCATTTTAAGCCTATTGTATCTACCCTGTAAAAGAAAAGATGTGTATAGTTACCTATTCTAAAATTTCTTTGGTCTAGTCACATGAGCCCTCCAGCTCTGGGTTCAGTGTAGAGGAGAGATTGACAATGACTACAGAGCCTGGATGAAGATGTCACCCATAGGCTTACAATAGGTTCTGTTGGCTGTCTCTCTGAAGCCGGTGCTTGAAGCCGATCATGTGACCGGCAACTTCCGAATAGCTAAGTATAGAGCATCTTTTTTTTTACAAGGTAGATAGAATAGTCTTACAAAGAGGCAGGAGTAGGTTTAGGCTTAGTTAGAATTTGACTGGAATTCTACTTTAAGTTGCACAAGTCTTCTTTGCACAATGCTGGAAAGCATAGCTTAGAGTATCAAAGAGCTAATTTAAATTCACTATTTCCTATTTTTTGCTTTCTTCTTCCAAAGTCATATTTCTTTATGTTGGCGTATTTAGTGTAATTTAATACATGCTAGCATCCAGAGAGAACTATTACCTGCAGTTATATTCATGCCATGTAAAGGCATCCATGTATAGTCCTGTGCCTACAAGAAATCTAAATATGGGTAACGTAATCAGAGAAATTTGACTTACAGATAGTGGAGCAGATTGTTCCAACTTTGTACTGGGTGCCATAGAGAGATCTCAGTGCGTTAGCAGCAGCGTGACCAACTGTGTTCTAGAAAGAGTAAAACATATTCAATTAAATTTAATTCATGTAGGCTAATAACCTCTGTAACACCTATTCAGTCCACTTTCATAAACCTGGACTAACAGGTTTTTTTTGGGGAAGATTAGAAATGCAAAACAATTCCATAGACATATACATCACATAAGTTTCAAATTTGACATGAAGGCATTGCTAACCTTGAGCATCTATTCATGACATCTTGCCTGCTCCACCCAACCACCATGTTAATATTTTTATTATTACTGTAAAGACATACATAAACATACACTTTAAATATCAGTATAATCATTGTGAATGTCACATGACCAAGTTTAAAATATCAGTTTAATTATGGTCAGTGCTACTCAGTTTGTAAAAGCAAGAGAATCTGCTAGGGATAGATATTATTCACTAGACTATTATAAAATCAAGAAGTTTGCCACAGAAATGAAAAATTCTGACTCAAAACTCAAAGTACTTTTTCTAAGCTATTGTTACATATAGAGCAGAGGAACTGGCACTAAAAAAATCAGAGGTTAAAAGACATAACCAAGTAACAAGAACAGGAGAAAACATCCTAAAGAAGTCTTCAGTAGAAAAATCCAGGAGAAAGAAGGAACAGAGCAAGGCAAAAGAATATATTGATTATTGATCTGCAGGAGGACCTAAGACATCTGAAAGCATGACTCTAGTGATTGAGAGTGATGGATTGTGTAGAATGGGCAGGAGGTCAGGAATCTTCAAGGGTTATAGTGCTAAAGAGAGAAAGAGATTTCCTCATTGATATATAATATATCCACTAGACTGTTCAGAGAGCAAGGGTTTTGCCACAGAAATGTAAAATTGTGACTCAAAGTACTCTTTCAAAGCTATTGTTTTATCTAGCTCTTATTGTTTTATTCATATAGCTTTATATATTGTTTTATTATAAAATATGTATTTTACTTTTGTGGATTTTGTTTCAGAGTTATAATATAAATGAGTCATGTGAAATTGACCATATGACATTCACAATAATCTTACTTATATCTTATAATGAATGTTAGTAAAAATTATTATTATTATTAATAATAAACTATTTTCTCTGTAGCTCAAAAGACCAGGGTTTAAATATTTACTTATTATTACAGGTATTTATATAGCGCCATCAATTTATGCAGTGCTTTACATATATATTGTACATTCACATCAGTGCCTAACCCTCAAGGGGTGTACAATCTAAAGTCCCTAACTCCCATTCATACATACACATACTAGGGCCAATTTATACAGGAGCCAATTAACCTACCAGCATGTCTTTGGAGTTCAGGAGGAAACCGGAGAACCCGGAGGAAACCCACACAGGCACAGGGAGAACATGCAAACTCCAGGCAGGTTTATATTATATGTCATGCAATGTTATTGTGTGTTTTGAAACTTACTCTTAGACAGACTTACCAGCTCGGCGTAGTGAGCAGGATTGGTGCACTTGTATCCGTAAGGGAATAGCAGAAGCTGAGAGTAGCTGTGGATGCTTATAAATCCTTTGACGTTTCCATGACTCCTAACAAAGTTGGCAATAGACTTTACTTCCACCTCTGATTCTGCACTGGGTCCATGGTATGCATCAGAACAGGGGCTAGCGTCGGCTCCTGGCCCTACATTAAAAAAATCAGAGTTATTTAATAGATATTTTTATGTTACTGCTGCATGTATGAAGTTTGAATTTTTAGACTACACATAGCCCATTTTGCCCTATTTCTCAAACAATTCAGTGTAACTGACTGATGAAAACATTTATTTATTTACAGTGCCTTGAAGAAGTATTCATACCCCTTGAAATTTTCCACATTTTGTCATGTTACAACCAAAAACATAACTGTATTTTTTGGGGATTTTATGTGATAGACCAACACAAAGTGGCACACAATTGTGAAGTGGAAGGAACATGATAAATGGTTTTCAATTTGTTTTACAAATACATATATAAAAAGTGTGGTGTGCATTTGTATTCAGCCCCCCTGAATCAATATTTTGTAGAACCACCTTTCTCTGCAATTACAGCTACAAGTCTTTTTGGGGATGTCTCTACCAGCTTTTCACATCTAGAGAGTGACATTTTTGCCCATTCTTCTATGAAAAATAGCTCTAGCTCTGTCAGATTGAATGGAGAGCATCTGAACAGCAATCTTCAAGTCTTGCCACAGATTGTCAATTAGATTTAGGTCTGGAATTGACTGGGCCATTCAAATAATCATTAATATGCTTTAATCTAAACCATTCTATTGTAGCTCTGGCTGTATGTTTTCCTGTCGGAAGGTGAACCACCGTCCCATTCTAAAGTATTTTGCAGACTCTAACAGGTTTTCTTCTAGTATTGCCCTGTATTTGGCTCCATCCATCTTCCCATCAACTATGACCAGCTTCCCTGTCCTTGCTGAAGAAAACCATCCCCACAACATGATGCCGCCACCACCATGTTTCACAGTGGGAATGGTGCAGTGTTAGTTTTCCGTCACACATAGCGATTTGCTTTTAGGCAAAAAAGTTCAATTTTGGTCTTCTCTGACCAGAGCACCTTCTTCTTCCACATGTTTGCTGTGTCCCCCACGTGGCTTCTGGCAAGCTGCAAACGGGACTTCTTACGGCTTTCTTTCAACAATGGCTTTCTTCTTGCCACTCTTCCATGAAGGTCAGATTTGTGGAGTGCACAACTAATAGTTGTCCTGTGGACAGATTCTCCCGCCTGAGCTGTGGATCTCTGCAGCTCCTCCAGAGTTACCATGGACCTCTTGGCTGCTTCTCTGATTAATACTCTCCTGTCAGTTTAGGTGGATGGCCATGTCTTGGTAGGTTTGCAGTTGTGCCATACTCTTTCCATTTTTGGATGATGGATTGAACAGTTCTGTGTGAGATGTTCAAAGCCTGGGATATTTTTTTTTCATAACCTAACCCTGCTTTAAACGTCTCCACAACTTTATCCCTGACCTGTCTGGTGTGTTCCTTAGTCTTCATGATTCTGTTTGTTCACTAATGTTCTCTAACAAACCTCTGAGGGCTTCACAGAACAGCTGTATTTATACTGAGAGATTAAATTACACACAGGTGGACTCTATTTACTAACTAGGTGTCTTTTGAAGGCAATTGATTCCACTAGATTTTAGTTAGGGGTATCAGAGTAAAGGGGCTGAATAAAAATGCACACCACACTTTTCAGATATTTATTTATATTATAAAAAAAATTTGAAAACCATTTATCATTTTCCTTCCATGTTACAATTATGTACCACGTTGTGTTGGTCTATCGCATAAAATCCCACTAAAATACATTTACTTTTTTGGTTGTAACATGACAAAATGTGGAAAATTTCAAGGGGTATGAATACTTTTTCAAGGCACTGTATTTATCCCTGCTTTAGATCTGACATACTAATTGTTGGTTGTAGACGAAGGACATTACAGAACTAATAAAATGCCTATATGTCAACACTGAGATTTTGCTTACAGTAGCCATGTGAAACATTTTTAAAAAAACAATAAAACTGATGCTCAAAGCTAAACTTTCATTATCATTTTTCATATTTCATATAATTAGTATTATGGTTCTTTGAATATATTCATTAGTGTGTTCGAGAATTTGAATCCCATATTAAGTAGTATTGCACACCCTGTGTGTTATCCTCTAAAATATTAAATTACTAGTGTAAACAACAGACTGATATCAATGATAACATCTTTTGACAAACATCTTTTAATATGTTTAGGGTGGTGGGAACTAGTGACTGAAATGTAGATATGATCCTTGGTTTGTAAAGTTGTATTTACCTCCAAAGCCTGCATCCCAGTTTCTGTTGGGGTCAACACCTGTACATGTGCTGCCTTTATTGATGGAACGGGTTTTACGCCACATACGGTTCTAAAAACAATAAATAGTAATATGGTGAATACTAATATGTTGTATTATTTCTAGTCAGCAGATGGAGCTCTAATTTCCCTTTCACATATCTTCTTGAGGCTGCTTAGCAGTCTATTGTAAAAAGCTTGTTGTTTACAAAGCTCTGTAACTGAAACGGCAGTTACACACAGAACTGAATAACTAATTAAAGTGATTATTCTCTTACTCAGTCCGAAGTTTCAATTGGACAATGCCAGCCACAAGGCATGTTTTTGTATTGTCTCTTTAGTCATCCCTTTGTGCTCTGAAAGTCCTTTTGTCATATATTAATATTTGTTTCTAAAACAAAGACTGTGTACGTAAAGTAAATATACACTACGAATAACTCATAAACTAAGAAAAAAAACAAAAAAAAAAAAATGACCCTAAACTATTATATTTTACTTTTACGTAAGGGTTTATTTTAATACAGCCAAAACAAATATTTACATAGTTATATAGTTAGCTAGGTTGAAAAGGACACAAGTCAATTGAGTTCAATCAATAGAAATTTAAACAAATATATAAAGTGCAAGGAATAACAGGAGGTGAGACTCAGCAATGGCAAGACTTACAGAATAAACCTTGAAAAATTGCTGTCTGAAATGCCACATGAATCTTCCTAACCTGTAACACCTACTGTATATACATAGAAATGCACTCCCCTTGTTATATCACAACGTATATTCCCGTTATACTTCCAATTCCTTTAGAAAGGCAACTAGGGAAAGCAGACTCAATTCATCTCACTGAAGAATACTACATGGAAATTTGTACTGTCACAGCAATTTACAAAGTATTATTGTATGCTTTCTTCTCATAACACCTTTGGAAAACTTAGAAACAGACTGAATTTGTTATCACTATGTTGGAATGAACTTGGTACCACACAGGAAATATCATTAGGGTTAGATACTTACAGTTGAGTGAGAGTAGACATATCCATCAGGATTGGTGACAACCATAAGGAAGACATCATAATTATCCAACAAAGAGGTAACAGATGCGTCCTTTCCATAGTCAGAAGCAAGCTTAAAAAATACAAATCAGATTTTGCTGTAAATTAATGTACCTTTAAAACAGGAGAGTATTGGCAGGGAGTCTCTATCTGTGTAGATTGCACTTACCTTATGTGCAGTCCACAGGGCAGTAGCTTGAGTTACCCACTCACGTGAATGAATACCAGCATCTATCCAAATGGCAGGGTGGCCGGCTCCAGTGCTGAACTGTAAGTAGAATATTAAACCATTTTTATTAACCTATCAATAAGGTAGTGTGAGGAATATTTCACTTTTTTAGATCTCATGGTTTCCATTTTTAATTTACAATCCCTGATATAAAGCAGGACTTGTAAAAGCAAAAGTAGAATGGTGGTATTTGAAACTACAGTAATTCAAAATACCAAAGATGTGTGTTCTGAATTTTTTATTTTTCAAAATAAATTGCAGTGAAAATTTATTGTAATACTTGTTTTGTACTGCAGTTGAAAATATAGCTGCTTTAATAATACACAAACTATAAATGAAGGCAAGACTACAAATCTGTTGGCATTTTGGAGGTCAAAAAAATAATTTATTTCTTTAGAAAATGTTATTCTATTATGTGCTTTGCTATTTAACATGTACTACACATTGCTTATGTCAACTACAGCTTTAGAAAACTTTTTCAGTCAATATAAAGTTATAATATCATTATCTACCTCATACTGTATATCTCAAGTATTATTAACAGAATCACCTTAAGAACATTGAGAGGACGCCCTTCATATGAGTTACCAATCTGTTGTTTGCTGACAATTGCTCTGTAATCTGCTAAAATTAGGTCAATGGCAACGTTTATCTATAATAAATAAGATAAAGCACAAATTACAGATACATTTAAAGAACATAGAAATATTTAATTTTCATCACAGCTGCACATACTGTATATACACATAATATGTTCAAAAGAAAAGTATATCTCAAGCCAAAGTTTTTTTTCTCATTTTTTAGAGAGTGTAGGGAATGAATCATTTTTCTTTTGCCTATGTGTCCCATTCAATAGATTTTTCCCTCACTTACTGTCTTGTAGACAATACAAAAAAAGTGAGGGAAATCACCTCTTAGACAAATGTTCGTATTGGAGGATTTCCACTTTATTGCTGTTCTGGTGATAAACCAAAATGATGGATTTTCCTTCGCTTTCAGACCTGGTGACAAATAATGGATGTGTAAACCCCCCCACCTAAAAAAAAAAAAAACACCTTCCCATTCATATAAGGGATAGCAATTAAATCCCTATAAGGTTTTGGCATTAGATATCCTTTAATTGGAGTTTTCATTTGTATATGTTATATATATTATTCTGTTTAATGCCAGAATTAGACATATCAGACCTGTACCTAGAAATGGCAAATATTAAAAAAAAAAAATTCCTGCGATTTGCATGTGAAATTATTTTCTGCTTCTAGCAATGGAAAAGCAGCTCAAATTAGTCATTTTTTTGGGCAATATTCTTTTTATTCTGTAGAGAACACAGTAAAAATTAGAGAAATACACAGTATGTAAATGATATGTAACTGACTCATGTATGGGGCTTATAGTTATTTACTGCTAGAAAGGTAACATTGATATTATGTTTCTGGACACCATGCACAGAGGGTTGTGGACCACCAGTTTGTGAAATCTAATAGATTCAATTTCTTACAGTATCCAAGGTGTGATAAGCGCCAAAGTTAAAAGAGCCAGAGTTGCGTTCCTTTCTTTCATTGCTTTCCATTTCTTCTTTTTCTTTGTCGATCACTTGCTACAATAAATAAATATGTACCAATCAATAACTAGAAAAATCAAGTTTAGTTATCATATCAGATATTCCTATATTAATTATGCACATGTCAGGTTCAAGTAACTCACCTGCAGGTCTTCTATCATGATGGAGTAGTCAATGTTGTTGTATTCCAGATAGGCCTTCACAGACTGAAGACTTGTGAAGGGAACTCGGACATCAACTGGTATATCAGGTTTGGCAGGTTCAATCCAGAAGTCAAGCTTTTAAAAGTAGAAAAGGATTTGTGATGCATATTATCAGTTAGGGCATCTGACACAGGGTTAAGTCACTACAAAGTGAAAAATACATATGGCTATGTAATATTTCCCAAAGTATGAGACACATATCACTAGTGGTACATATGCTCACTCTGCATGGTACATGTAGTGACTTAGCATTTACAAGAAGGCTTGGACTTAAATATCTGCCCCTATACTGCCTGGAAGCCACTTGAAAAATCACACGTGGGAATATATATTTATTATAGTAAGAATCACTAGAAGTGGTGAAATAAACTATGGGCTGGTAGTGTACATTACAGTTTCACAGAGATCATTTTTGGGAGAGCAGGGTTTTATTTTTATCATTGTATTGAGGTTTTTTAATCAAGTGTACAAAAAACCAAGGGGTTGCGGCCCACACAGGGGTGCACCAGCCTGCTTAAAGACAGGTACTGAGTCTCTTGGTCATATCTCCAATATATTTTACAGATGGGGATTTGGTCCTCCCTTCTTTCAATAGGTTTCATCCCTCTACCACCAACCCAAAGCCTATGTAAAATATGCTGGCTACTGTTCTAATGCATTTTCTATTTGTCGGGGGAACTAGGCAGGGCTGCCCCTTCTCCCCTCTCCTCTTCACTCTGGCTCTTGTACCACTAGCACAGCTGATACACTCCAACCAGTACATCAAGGGGATGGAGTTTGGGGATGCCTGCACAAACTCTATTTCTTCACAGATGATGTGCTCCTTTTTATTATGTCTCCACACACCTCAGCACCCAATCTTCTTCAAACACTGGACGGTTTCTCTACAGTCCCTGAACTAAAATCGCAGGTACTCGTTATCTTACCATCTTCATCCAAACTTGCTTGACTGGGGCTCTCCACTTTCTGCTTTACCTAGACATCAAACTTTTACATTTTTTGGATGATCTATTTCAACTTGACTATCCCCCCCATGCCAACCCACTTCACACCATTGCTCTCTTGTTGGTCCCAATCCCAGTTTCATGGATGGGGAGAATAAATGTAGTCAAAACGACTATGTTGCCCAAAATCCCATATCTCTTCTAGGTCCTGCCTATTCCAGTTTCAGCTTATTACTTATGAATTTTACAGCATTGGGTTTCATAAAACATATAAGGAAAAAAACTTGTTTATCTAGGTATACCATGGAGATATACAATGGAGCTGCCTATGTGGTGGACTGGGCCTTCTGAACTTGTAGGCCTAGAGGCTGCCAACTGAGACCCCCTCTGGAGTGCAAACCTACTCTCGCTATGCCCCTTCGACCGGTCACAAATTTCTAACTCCATCACGAAACATTCCCTTTGCCTATGGAACAGACTTACTTTAAGCTTATCTTTCCACATAACCCCCTATTATCTTTTTTCCGGAATCCGTAATTTTACCCAGCATTCATATCCCTAACATCCTTTCGTGCCTGGATGTCTGACAAACTGTTTCAACTTCACAAAGTTGACATCGTTTACCGCCTTCAAAACATTTTCAAATCTGCAAGCATCTCATGGACTGCCCAACTCATAAATGTTCCTCTTAATAAAGCATTTTTCCTCTCAGTAAGACAAACCAGGCTCCTCCATGGACTATATGATTCACTTTGAGCATGTATGCTCTTACACCCCTTACTGTTTTTGAGGATTCAGAGGCATAGGTATGCATTTTTACACCTGGTGATCTTGCCCTGTTCCATCTATCCTTTGGATAGAAAGTTTCCACATCATTTTCGCCCTCTTCTTTCCATAACGAAATCCCCTTTTGGCTCTGCTCAATTCTGAGGAATGAAAGAAAGGAAATGCTGGCTACTGCATTGATCATAGCAACAATTTCCTTCCAATATTGTAAAATGGAAGGGTAGGCCCAGAATATATGCATGAAATCCTCCATTGGGTGAGCACATTTTCCAACAGGCTGGAAAAAAACAATGTGTTAAACCTGTGCAGACAGTGGGGTGTGAAACAGGCCTGGTGAAGAATTTTAAATGAAACAGGTTTGTCTCTAATTAATTACCAGTTGCCTAAATGGGGAGTCCCAGATGTCTGTCCAATCTTTGTCATCAAGATCCAGTTTATCCCTTAACCATTTCTGCCTGAGGGAAGACAGATCTGGGAGAGATACCATGAGGAGATGATTAGGAGAGAAAAAGGCATCAAAGTGCGGTTCTCTATAATATGTGAAATTGTCTTGATTTTGAGCAAAGAAATGAGGTAAAGAAGGGTTGTTCCACAACGGGGTATGTGGGGAGACAGCCCTACAGGGCAAACGTTCGCAGCTGAGACCCCACTTCCAGGCTTGCAGAGTAGTAATTATGGATGGGGTTAAAGGATATGGGGATTTGGGTCTTCGATATAGCAATTGTAGAGTTTCCAGTGACTGTGGGATGGCAGCTTCCAATATTGTGAAAGGGTTGGAAGTGTCAGGGGATAACCACCAGTGTACTGTCATTAACTGCAGGGCAAAACAATATTTGTGGCAGTCTGGCATAGCCATTTGTGGGGTGGGACACATGAGTATAGCCAATTTGTATCTTGGTGTGAGGCCACCCCAAAGGAAAGATGACAAAGGTTGGTTTTAGATGGTAAAGAATGATTTGGCGATCCAGTGGGGAGAATTATGGAACAGGTAATTTAGTTTAGGCAAAGTTTTTATTTTGACATGATCATTACGGCCCAGAAGTAAAAACAGAAAATTTCACCATGCCTTTAGTTTAGCCTTAACATTCTGCAATACAGGCAACAGGTTGAGGATGATATACTCAGAGCTATAACGAAATATGATGACCCCTATTTGAACTGGTCTACCCATTATAGGGGAAGGTTAGGCGAAGCTAGAGAGGAAGCATCCGCATCTATTGTAAATAAGAGTGATTTGTTCCAATTAACCTTAAAACCGGTAACTGCAGTAAAGGCATGGAGAACCTGAAGTGCTACCTGTAAGGAGGGGCCTGCATCATTCAAAAATAAAAGGAGATCATCTGCATACAGGGCTACCCTTTCCTCCAATCAGCCAACTTGGAGACCTGTGATATTGGGAGAAATCCTGTGCCACTGGCTCCATTGGCAAAAAGGTTTGGGGAAAGAGGGCAGCCCTGCTGGATTCCCCTAAATAATGGGAATGGGCAGAGAGACCACCTACTTGTAGTATAGATGCAACTGCATTACTGTAAATAGTATGTATCCATTGTATAAATCTAAAACTCATGTCAGAGGGGAAGGAGGCATAGGTAACAACCCGAGCCTCTATCTCTGCCTGAAGACATTTTGTAGTGGATATTTTCTGTGACCTGATGGCCACAATGAAAAAAAATGTTTTGGCCCTTGGTAAATGCCTTGAAGGCATCTTAAACCAAGTCTGGAGAAGAGGATCCCTCATTTACCCTCCAATAATCTTGGATGCTAGCAGAAATATTATTCAAAGTTTCAGGATGGGAGAGCCTAACCTCCACAAGGATCCTTTACAGGAGTTGTATGCCCTGAGTGTTATAAGTAGGAGGCTATGATCGAACAAGCCAATAGGTAGGTAAAAATCCTCCTGAACATCTGCTAGGAGAGAAGGATTGGTGAATGCTAAGTCTATACGAGAGGAGGTTTTATGCGAGGCAGTGAAACAGGAGTAACTCCTACCTGAGGAGATCCTCCACCTCCAGGCTTCTTTAAGTTCAGCCTCCATGGTCCATGCTGAGAGTTCACTGGTAGAATGTTTAGTAAGGGAGTGCCTATCTAAGTCAGGGGATAGGATGGTGTTAAAATCTGAAAAAAAAAAAAAACGGCTATGTTGGGAAGTACTGGGTCACCTTCTCAGTGTAAAGGAGGCTCTTCGAGAATGGGGGCGGTATGTATAAGTTAGTTACTGTATAATATATCTCTGATTCCAAAAAGTCAAAATCACTATTACATACTGTTTCTCCCATGAGGGTCTGTATGGACCCCTTCTATGACACAAGGAAGGGATTTACTGATAAGGACTGAGACCCCACTAGAGAAGGTAGAATAGGTCACCACAAATACCAGAAGGCATGTAAACAAAAATTAAAAGTCACTTTCAGTAAAACAAGGTAGAAGTCCAGTTAGATACTAAAGGCGCCAAACAAGCTCCTAATTGAGAGTGCTAATGCAAGACTGATCTCCAATTAAGGCAAGGTTCCCCCATGATAGAACAGCATGTAAGGTGGCAGCCTATGTTGACTGTAATTCCCTACAGAGTCAACTAGTTATCCCGTGGATAGTCGGGAGGCATCTTACTTGCAGAAAGTCATCTAGACTGATAGGCAAAAGATGAAAATTAGGATGTGGGCTGACTTGCTAGAATGTGCAAGGATGTGTAAACCCATAGTATAGTGGAAATAGGCTTCAGTAAGGTGCAGGTTCTGGCATTGGGTACTCCCAGCATAGCTGGAACAGTTTTGTTGCTGAAGACTGGCATCTAAAAAGCTAAGGAAAATCTCCGGTGATCAGGAGCAGGCTAAGAGTAGTACATGGGAAGAGATGGTACAATAGAACAGAACAGAATAATAGTATGAAATCTTGTCAGAGGCCATTGCCAACAGCCACGAGAGCCAAATGCTAAAATTTAAGCAAAGCCTTATTTTTTTTTTGCTTTTTCTATGATTGAAAACCTTTTGTAGCAGTGGGAAAAGATTTCAGTAGGACTGGCGGCTCCCAAAGAAATCAAACACAACCTTATAACAAGCCATAGTACAGCAATCAAATTTACACAGTCAAGGTAAATCTAAAAAACTTAGAGGAAATTTCACTTCTAATGCACAGCCCATCTATATGAGCCCTATGGCAGGAGTGATATTGATAAGTGTAGCGCTACCCCCCCATAGGGGCTGCTCGATGATGCTTGTCCCCAATGGTTAACCTGACCTTGCAAGCCTCCTGACACCTCTGACATTCTGGGTTCAGACATATTTTAGTAATAGAGAATAACAATGCAATTCTTTAGTAACTTCTCTATATTAGTGCTTGTCAACAGTCAAT